CTTTGGATCACTACATTTGTATCCTCTGGGTACCCCGTAGTGCAATTGCTTGGTCATAGGGTAGCTCTATTTAATTTTTTGAAGAACGTCCATACTGTTTTCCAGAGTGGCTGTACCAGCTTGCATTCCCACGAACAGTGTAAGAGGGTTCCCCTTTCCCTACCTCTTTGGTAACATTTGTTGTTTCCTGACTTGTTAATTTTAGCCATTCTGAGTGGTGTGAGGTGGTACCTCACTGTGGTTGTGATTTGTATTTCCCTGATGCCAAGTGATGCAGAGTGTTTTTTTCATGTGTCTGTTGGCTATATATATGTCTTTGGAGAAATGTCCATTCATGTTTTCTGCCCATTTCTTGATTGGATTTTTTGTTTTTTGGGTGTTGAGTTTGATAAGTTCTTTATAGATCTTGGATACTAGCCCTTTATCTGATAAGACATTGGCAAATATCTTCTCCCATTCTGTAGTTTGTCTTTTGGTTTGGTTGATTGTTTCCTTTGCTGTGCAAAACATTTTATATTGATTAAGTCCCAATAGTTCATTTTTGCCTTTGTTTTTGTTGCCTTTGGAGAAGTGTCTAACAAGAAGTTGCTGTGGCTAAGGTTAAAGAAGTTGCTGCCTGTGGATTTTGATGGAGTCCTGTCTCACATTTAGGTCTTTCATCCCTTTTGAGTTTATCTTTCTCTATGATGTAAGAGAATGGTCCAGTTTCATTCTTCTGCATATGGCTGTCCAATTTTCCCAACACCATTTGTTGAAGACACTGTCTTCTTTCCATTGGATATTCTTCCTTGCTTTGTCAAAGATTAGTTGACCGTAGAGTTGAGGGTCCATTTCTGGGTTTTCTATTCTGTTCCATTGATCTATGTGTCTGTTTCTCTGCCAGTACTATACTATCTTGATGATTACAGCTTTGTAATATAGCTTGAAGTACAGAATTGTGATGTCACCAGCTTTGGTTTTCTTTTTCAACATTCCTCTGGCTATTTGAGGTCTTTTCTGGTTCCATATAAATTTAAGATTATTTATTCCCTCTGTGAAAAATGGTGATGGTATTTTGATAGGGATTGCATTGAAAGTGTAGATTGCTCTGGGTAGCATAGACATTTTAACAATATTTGTTTCCAATCCATGAGCATGGAATGTGTTTTCATTTATTTATGTCTTCCTCCATTTCTTTCAGAAGTGTTCTGTAGTTTTGATACTACAGATACTTTACCTCTTTAGTTAGGTTTATTCTTAGGTATCTTATGGTTTTGGTGCAATTGTAAATGGGATTGATTCCTTAATTTCTCTTTCTTCCTTCTCATTGTTAGTGTATAGAAATGCAACTGATTTATATGCATTGATTTTATATCCTGCAACTTTGCTGAATTCCTTTATGAGATCTAGCAGTTTTTGGGTGGAATCTTTTGGGTTTTCCACATAGAGTATTATGCCATCTGCTAAGAGTAAAGGTTTGACTTCTTCTTTGCCAATTTGGATGCCTTTTATTTCTTTTTGTTGTCTGATTGCTGAGGCTAGGATTTCCAATACTATGCTGACCAACAGTGGTGAGAGTAGACATCCTTGTCGTGTTCCTGACCTTAGGGGAAAAGCTCTCAGTTTTTCCCTATTGAGAATGATATTCACTGTGGGCTCTTTGTAGATAGTTTTTATGATATTGATTTATGTTCCCTCTCTCCCTACACTTTGAAGAGTTTTAATCAAGAAAGGATGCGGTATTTTGTCAAATGCTTTTTCTGTATCTATTGAGAAGATCATATGGTTCTTGTCCTTTCTTTTATTAATGTGATGTATCACATTGATTGATTTGTGGACGTTGAGCCACCCTTGTAGCCCAGGAATAAATCCCACGTGGTCATGGTGAATAATCCTTTTAATGTACTGTTGGATCCTACTGGCTACTATTTTGGTAAGAATTTTTGCATTCATGTTCATTGGGGTTATTGGTCTGTAGTTCTCTTTTTTGGTGGGGTCTTTGTCTGGTTTTGGGATCAAGGTAATGCTGGCCTCATAAAATGAGTTTGGAAGTTTTCCTTCCATTTATATTTTTTGAAACAGCTTTAGAAGAATGGGTATTATTTCTTCTTTAAATATTTGGTAGAGTTCCCTGAATGTCATTTTTTAAAGGCAATATTTTTAGAGCAGATTTAGCTTTACAATAAAATTAAGATGAAAGTGAATAGATTTCCTTTATATCTCATACTTACCCATATGCATAGCCTTTCCTATTATCAATATCATTTAACAGAATGGTACATTTATTACCAACGATGAACTACATTGATACATCATTATCACCCAAAGTCCATAGTTTACTTTCGGGTTCACTCTTGGTTTTGTACATTTTATGAATTTGGCAAATACATAATGACATATATCCATCATTATAATACATACAGAGTGTTTTCATTGCCTCCAAAATGCTGTGCTCTATTTATCTCCCCCCACACACCCATCCCTGGCAACCATTGATCATTTTATTTTTTCCATTGCTTTATGATTTCCAAAATGCCATTTAATTGGAATCATACTATATATAGCCTTCTCAATTTGGCTTCTTTCACTTTGTAGTATGCATTTAAGGTTTCTTCATGTCTTTTCATGACATGCTGGCTCATTTCTTTTTAGCACTGAATAATACTCTATTGTTTAATATACCATATTTTACTTATCTATTCACCTACAAAGGGCATCTTGTTTGCTTCCTTGAAACACATTTTAAAGATAAGAAAATTGATTCTGAGAGGTCAAGTGACTCAGATAGGCTTATAACTAGATATAGGTAAACCCAGTTTTAATATCTAGCCTTTCTGATCTCATACAGTATTCTTTACATCATTATTTGGGCTAGACAACCACTATCCTTGCAGTTTTCTCAGGTCTTTCTTGATGTTATAATTTAAATTTTGAGTATCATAAATATGCTAATCGTCTTAAAAATGCAGATTTTTTTAACAACCAACATTTCTATATGTTTTGTTGGATTTTTCAGTATTTAAGTCATATCTAAGTGTTTAGAATGCAAAATGTCATAATGTTGAAAAAAACATCACAGGATCATTGTAGTAGCTTTCTGTGGCAACGTAGCATAGCAGTATTGGATAACTACTATCCAGAAGAGTGGAGAATTGATTGTATATGTCATTCTCTGGCATTTATATGGCATATCCGAGGGAAGACCAGGTACTCAAAAGTCACAAATGGCAGTGATCTTCAGGAAGTCAATTACGTTTCAGGAACGTGATTTGTTATTGAAGTTTAATATTCTTCTAATGGCAGTTTGATACCTTTTGAACAAACACAGAATACATTTGAATTTTCATTAGCTGCTACACAGAAGTTAGCACTAGAGATTAAATTTAGGCCAAAATAGATTTTAGTTTGAGGCTAATTTCCCATTTATTCTATTTCTAAAGAAAAATGAATAGGAAGTTCCCCTCCTGAATTTTCCATCTAAACGAAAATGTATTCATTTGCTTTAATTTTGAAGTGTGTTGCTGGTTTTCCACACAGGCAGAAACAGCTTTCCAAAAAGCAGCAAGGATACAAGTCTTATAGCTACAGTGAACCAAACAAACCATGTAGAGAGAATGAAATTCCATAGAAATAACCACTTTTTAAAATTAATATCCTAGGGGCAGCTGGGTGGCTCAGTTGTTAAGCATCTGCCTTCAGCTCAGGTCATGATCCCAGGGTCCTGGGATCGAGTCCCACATCAGGCTCTCTGCCCAGCAGGAAGCCTGCTTCTCTCTCTCCCACTCCCCCTGCTTGTGTTCCCTCTCTCGCTGTGTCTCTCTCTGTTAAATAAATAAAATCTTAAATAAAATAAAAAATAAAATTAATATCCTGAGTGAAAATGCTTAAAGTATATCTTCCTAAACATCTTCTGATTTTCTCAAATGCATATTTCAAAATACATTTAGTGAATTGAATTTCCTTACCAATCTGGAAACTATCTTAAGGTAAACTTGGTTTTTGTTATATATTTGAACTTGGCCAGGTTTTTCTATCAATGCTGTTAATGTTAATTTACTCTATTCCTCTCTTTTCTATTTTTTGGTGTTAACTGCTGCAGAGCCATCCAAATCATCCAAAATTAGACTGTACTTCTGTCAATTACTGTTATTGTTGATTTGCAAATCAAAAGTGAATTGACAATGTATGAGTATTCTTTTCAACTTTCTTTTGTGAATGCAACTCTTTTCTGTGACTGTTTCTATAAATTAAACTTACAGTGCAGATGTTGTATATCTTATTGCATATGTTCTTGTTGACTCTGTTGTTATAGTCAAACACATTTCAAAATGTGAGGGGCCAAGTCAGAGAGATGAACTGCAAGGAAATCCGAGAGAGGAGGCCTCACCACACTGAAAAATTGTAGAGCCCCAAATGCTAGGTCCCCACCAGCTTCCCCTACATTCTCCCCACCAGCATACATCTGATTCCACCCCTCCCCTTCTGGAAGCCCATCCACGCTTTCCCTCCGAGCTCAGAGCCTACAGGCTGCACACGTCCCTCCAGTGAGCTCTTCCTGCCTGAGGGCCTTCCTAAGTCAGGCCCCCCTGGGTCACTCTTCTTGACTCTCCCTCCCTCTGTCTCAGAGGTCCCCCTAATTCAATGTGTGTTTCCCATCATGTTCTCAGGGAGCATCCCGTTTCTTCCCTTCCGTCATTGTTGTACCATTTTAAATTATATACTTCATTCGTGTGTTTAAAAAATTAACTTTGCTTAACATGTTTGAACTGAAACTTAAATACTTTATTTAAGCAACTACAGAAGAAAAAGAGCCACAAATTTGGCAGTATACTAGAAACTAATAGTCTCTTCTTTTTTATAACTTTGTTATCAGTTTTGATTATAGGAGATCACTGACTTGAACAAATATGTTCTCTTTTGTGGTAACAAAATATACATAGCATAAAATTTACCATTTTAAACCATTTTAGTATACAGTTCAGTAGTATTAGGTACATTCACATCATCATGCAATCATCACCTAAAACATGGAATGCTTCACAAATTTGCATTTTTATCCTTATCCAGGGGTCATGGTAATTTTCTCTGTATTGTTTTAATTTTAGTGTATGTGCTAATGAAGCAAAAATCCATATATGTATATACATGTATTTGTTACTTTTTTTTTTTTGGTTAAATTGTCTCTTTTTTTTTATTATTATGTTATGTTAATCACCATACATTACATCATTAGTTTTTGATGTAGTGTTCCATGATTCATTATTTGCAT